TTGTCGCCCATCTTGCGGACCACGTCCGGCCGCGGCCCCACGAAGCGAACGCCGGCGTCCAGGCACGCCTGGGCGAAGTCGGCGCGCTCAGACAGGAAACCGTAGCCCGGGTGGATGGCGTCCACCTCGTTCTCCTGGGGGGCACCGGGCAGGGGTCACGGGGCCGCCAGGAGACCCCCGAGGGTTTGGGGAGGGGGTCCCGGGGATGCCAGGACACCCCTGTGGGCACTCAGGTGTGCTCAGATCCCCCCCCCCGCCCTCACACAACAGGGAGACCCCCTCATGGGAAATGGGGGGATGGTCCCAATGTCGCTTCCCTGTGTCCCCAGGTGTGTCCCCAGGTGTGTCCCCAGGTGTCCCTCATGTCCCAGCTGCGTCCCAGGTGTGTCCCCAGGTGTGTCCCCAGGTGTCCCTCATGTCCCAGCTGCGTCCCAGGTGTGTCCCCAGGTAACCCTCGTATCTCCAGGTGTATCCTCAGGTGTCCCAGCTGTGTTCCCAGCTGTCCCCCATGGCCCAGGTGTGTCCCCAGGTGTGTCCCCAGGTAACCCTCGTATCTCCAGGTGTATCCTCAGGTGTCCCAGGTGTGTTCCAGCCATGTCCCCAGATGTTCTAGGTGTGTCCCCAGGCGTCCCAGCCCTGTCCCAGGTGTGTCCCAGGTGTATCCCCAGATGTTCCCCATGTCCCCAACCCTGTCCCAGCCCTGTCCCAGGTGTGTCCCCAGGTGTGTCCCACACCTGTGCCACGCGGATGATGTCGGGGATGTGCAGGTAGGCCTGCACGGGGGGCAGGCCCCGCCCCACCAGGTACGCCTCGTCCGCCTTCTGCCGGTGCATCTGGCCCGTGTCCTGCTCCGAGTACACGGCCACCGTGCGGATCCCCAGCTCCGTGCAGGCCCGGAACACGCGGATGGCGATCTCACCTGGGGACAGGTGGACATGGGGACACCCCGGGGACACCCTGGGGGGCAGCTCCCTGGCAGTCTCACCTGAGGCCACACCCGGGGGGGGTCAGGGGACACCTCAGGGGACGTGGGGGAGATTAAAGGGACA